TACAAAATACATTGGCCTAAGATAATAAAATTTAATTCATTTAATTTTATTATCTTAGGCCAATGTATTTTGTACAACTTACAATTGATCAACATACAGTAAGAGAATAAGAAAAAGAAAAAATATATTTAGTTTTATATTTATTAGGATGTAGCTGAAACTTTAATTTCAATACAAAGTGGCCGACGAGCATCACTTGCACAAATTGTACAAATTGTTGGTCCACGTCTTGATCTTAGTGATTATGCTGCTTATAATTTACCAAAAGAAAGTTTGTTTCAAAATTCAATATTGAGTTATATATATGATATAAAAACAATTGAATATATTCTATTTATTAGTTTTACAACATGCAACACATCTTAATGTTTCACAAAAACAATCTGTTCGTGTTTCAAATGTATCAAATACAACGAAACATGATAATGGGGTATGCATAACGGGACTTCTTAGATTAAGTATATAATACATCAAGATATAGTTAAAAATGATTCGATTTTCGATACTAGAAAATCAGTCTTTTGAAATTTACTGTTATTCTATTTTATTTGAAAATGAAATCCCAACTACATTATGAAACTCTATTGTTATGGCATGATATGTCTCTTGCCATAAAGAATACTGATTTTCTTTCATTTCCTCACGTACTACTGATATTGTGAAGAGAAGGGGGATTCTTGTTTTATAAAAGACGAGAAATAAAGAATAGAAAGGAGCGATAACATCTATGTAGATTAGAAGTATGCAGGATCGTACTGATCGGTGCGAGAGAGGTCGTGACGTCTTCCCTTGCTTTTAATATCTCACTATCAGTGAAAGGTCTAGGTTTTCTAGAGAATAGGTGTGATTTCGGTCAGGAACCGCATTTTGGTTGTGAAAAATCGGAAAAAATATTTGAGACAGAGTGCGAGCTAGGGATCTGCACGGAGTCATTTTCAGAGTCGTCGTGGAAGTCAAGTAAGTTTCATGTTAATAATTCAACTTTAAAGTTAAAAATTATTTAAGTTCATAGTTTTGTTGTGCGACATTTTCTCTTTAAAATTACTTATTTCGTGGAATCAGTAGACGTCTTAGCGAGTCTCACAAACCAAAATAAAATACAGAAAAAGTCGGAGTCGAAAGTGACTCCGACTTTTCTTTTGTGTTGGTGAGGTTCAACAAAGCATCGACCTATCCTTCAAAATACATAGTTTCGTAGAGAAAAGGTTGGACAGCAAAACTATGAACTTAAATAATTTTTAACGTTAAAGTTGAATTATTAATATGAAACTTACTTGACTCCGACGGCGACTCCAAAAATGACTCCGTGCAGGTCTCTAGTGCGAGCGCATGCCTCTCTAAATCCGCTACTGATTCAACATTTCGATTATCATATATTAAAGAATAAAAATCAATTATATCATTGTATAATATAATATCTTTTTTTCTTAATTTTTTAGTCTAATAAAATGCCTTCGAATATATCTGGTAGAATATCTCGTTCAAGTAATATTCCATCAACAACTTTAAATTTAACTGATAATATTGGTTCATGTACTATAACATCTCTAACATCACCATCACATTTTTTTATACAATTTACTGAAAAAAATAATTTCGAACAAATCTATAATAGTGTTAATGAAACATATCTTGAACGTATATCATGTGATCGTATGACACGTTTAAAAAATTTCTCAATAAATACATTAGGTGTAGCACGTAATACTCGTGATCAACGTTTTTTATCGTGTACAAATTATTAATCATGATCGTGAACGTAAAACACTTCTTGTACTTTGTTTTGATTTCGGCGAATATATAACAATACAAGAAACATCAATCTATGAACTTATACCTGAATTTCTAATATATCCACCACAATCTATTAAATGTTCATTAGGTTTAATACATCCAACAAATGAAGATTGGTCACGTGAATCTGTTAATTTAATGAATCGTTTTATTGGTGGAAAAGGTTTTAAAACATTTCGATTCTATTCTTTAAGTGCAGCAACACGTACAATAAGGTAATAAAAAATAATTTCCCAAAAAAAGACTAAAACGTTCTTGTTTTCTTAAAGTCTTAGTGATCCACCATTACCAATAATATTATATGATATGAATACATCAGATAATTCATTAAATGAACAATTAATTACAAAAAAAACTTGCTATACCTGAAACAAATTATATTGAATATATACGTCTTGCTAATGATGCTATGAATGATTTAAATGGTTTTAAAAATCAACGTATTAGACAATATATCGAATCGCAACGAAATTATACTCAACCACAAACACA